CCAGGCATCCATTTTTTGTTTGTATCATCTGTCCTTAATCCTTTCTTAAAGGGTAAACACACTCAATGCCCAATAATATATTCGTAATATCTTCGTATGTACATTGATATCGTTATCAAGTTTTAAACATAAAATGATATTCTCGTCAGTGATTTCTCATATTCTTAATTGGAAAAGAAGGTTTTTGAAGAACGTGACAACTCGAGAGTAACTTTATCTCTGTATTTAAAAAGAAAGACCTTCCATTTTATCATCCTTTACTTCCTAATTAGAGCTTCTTCTTTGAAGATATATTATTGGTACTCACAACAGATCGCCAAAGCTAAAAAAATTACGCAACTTTCATTTTCTTGAAAGGCACCTTACCTTCCAGATAATACAGACATTAAAGTACAGCACCACAATGGAAGCAACAAGGCCCTCCGCAGATAAAATCCCCAGCAGCAACCTATGTCCCACGCCACCAGCTCCTGGCGAGAATTCATAAGCACAAATTCGGTTTCCTGGGTAAAACTTGTATTGGGCGGCCACCCCAAAGAATGGAAAAATCAGTTGTAGTAAAATAAAACACAGAGTGGAAACCATAGAAACATGCACCGTGGATACAGAAACATGCGTTCTGTAATATAAAGGTTTAACAGTGGCGAGGTACCTACAACCCGCCATAATAATCACGACCCAAGCGGACCAGATCACCATGGCGGTAGCTAACCAGCCCAGAATGTTACACAGGTGGCGTCCCATGAGACAACCACACTTGATCCAACCTCCGATCCACATGACGGAGTACAGAGCCGCCGTTACAAAGTCATTGCAAGCCAGGACTAACACACAAGTATGGTCCACACTAGTACATGTGGGGCGAATTTTGATTAAGATGTATATGGCTGCACCGTTAAGAACGAGCGTTAGTAAGAGGACTATGGGGAGCTCGGCTTTTGACAAATCAAAGGTACACTCCTGACATGCGTCTTCTGTCCTCTGAATCCATGTCGAATTGTTCATATTTCAGACAGTTTGATTTATGAGTTCTTGGTTCTCATGTTTTGATTTATATATCCAGACTGTATCAATTCTTCCAGGTAAGGTGCAGTCGCATCACACCTTTACCAGTCCTAGTAATGGGAAAAACTACACCAACGTCATGTTAAATCCTATTAAAATATATCTATGAATTTCCTAAACTAGATCTCACAAGAAGATATATCTGTAGAAGCGTGGAAGGTGTGTGGATCTCTATAAATAGGAAGTGATGCTTCATTAGATCAATAATTCGTTACCTGCGGTGTTTCAGATTTAAGGTAGTTTAACAATTTTACATCGAAGATGCAACTAACTCAATTCAATTTGTGACTTATTATTGATTATTCTGCATTTCTAGAGAATTTATTTTTAATAAACCCAGATACTCAAGAAAATTAATTTTAAGCTATGAAATGAGAACTCACTAACGACAGGTCGCAAAGATTGTCACAATGAGAAGTGATTCTGGACCCATGGGATCATTCAGTATGCTGCTGTAATAATCGGAAAGGAAGGTAATAGGTAAAATTCTTGTAAAATAGACATTACGCCTTTAACATTAAATCAAACCTCTTTCCACACTTGGCTCAGTGGTTAGAGCGTCTGATCTAGAGTCTAGGGCAAGCAAGGAGTTGAACCCCACCACGGGACATGAAGACTGGTCCTATGGATGAGACCGCTTAAATCGAGGTCTCGTGTCGCATTTGTGCTGGCACGAAAAAGGTCCCTAACTGCTCAGAGGCACTTAAGAATAATACAAAATGTGCATATTCTAACCGGGAAACGGTGGCGTCTCGAGAAGAGTGAAAATTTCCTTAACTACGTTAAACTTACATACCGCATCACCGAAACATTAGATCTTGTCAAATGATACAGAAAACCAAGGTCAACTATAGAAGTCCCTTCCCTTGAATAGCATATAAAAAAAATAAACGTGATGACATGAATCTTCCTTCGTCAGCTTCTTTTACTTATATAGCAATATACTCTTTTCACCTGCTTTTGGGTTTATTAATCTTTCGGTGGACGGAGAATATATACCTAGTTTATCTAGAGGCTTGTATTTTGCTCCCATTTAGAATTGTTACAACTGATTTTTTTTGCTTTGATTTATTGTTCCTCCATATTTCTCATTGTAAGTTATAAAATGAAGCATTTTTGAAATATCAAATATCAACTTTTGAGTACTTGTATGTATATACCATTTTCTAAATAAAATAATAACCTTTGAAAAGAGAAAGGAAAAAAAATTAAGATATGCTTAATATAAAAACATGATAATAATTACAATGCTGCTCTCTTGCAAGGTAAATAATATTGGCCTAATCTCATAAAATCAATATAATCCTTACATTATTTGCAAATTGTGCTAACATCTACTCACTATTCGAATTTTTAATAATTTAATGATTAGTATACGGCAATACTTCATTGATTTGTACATGTAGTTATCTTGCAATGATCTATAAAATATGAAGATATCGATCAGTATTCAAGCTCATAAGTACATTTCACAATGCACATCGGGAGCAAAGCAAACAAAACCTCAAAAACATCAGAAGTTGGATCAAGTGCAATGGAGTGGTGAGCATCCCCTGCTGACTTTTCACATATTCGCTATGTGCTCCTTGTCATGATCGGATCATAATGGCCTTAAATGTATGAAAAATAGCTCTTCATGTAGATTTAACTTCATGATAAATTGTATTTGATGACAAGGTTATTGATCGACTATAAAATTACAAAATGTTGATTCTAACCATGATTGCTGATGCTCTTCCATACGAATCAACTGAGAGATGTAAATACTGTTTTCAGATGATGAAGGTATATTGCTGCGTAAGTAAGGGAAGTTGACGGTAAAATTTTAATTCATCACTTTCATCTTGCAAGAGAACAGTACTGTAATTATCGATGTGTTTTTTCTTAAATATAAAATATATCGTAAAATTTTCTTCCTTTCTCTTTGAAAGGTCATTTACATATTTATTATGTTTAAAAATGATTGTACATATATACATGTAAGTACTCAATTGTTGATACTCAATATTTAAAAAAAATCTTCATTTTATTACTTACAGTGAGAAAAATGGAGAATATGTGGTATCTTACCTAAACTGCAGATGAGCTATTATTTACAATTTCATTATCGTTGTAATGTTTAAACAAGTTTTATAAAAAAAAAAAAGATAAACAATTCAAGGACTATTTTCTATTTTGCAGTTATAAACCGTTCTCCGTAATGTTATATGGCAGGGTATCGTGACAGGAGTACACAGCGGGTGTGACCTGTCGTCAGGAGAGGTTTACAAAGTACTCCATGGCCATTTTCCCACCTCCAATGTTGTTTTCGTCATGATAGGATTAAATATGTTTTTGCGTGAACAATATGTCCTTGTACAATTTTATGAAAAAACAGTTTATCTTTCATAAGGAAATCAAATTGTTATTTCCAATCTTATGTCGATATATATATCAGTGAGGTTGAAATAAAAATATCACAAAGTCTGGCATATCTGTTTCATATTTGGATATTTTAATTGAAAAAGACCGTAATGGTTATCTAACAACAAACCTTTATGATAAACGTGATTACTAGTACTTTAACTTTTCAATCGTCAACTTCAGTTACTTATGCATCAATAAACTTTCAAAATCTGCAAACGGTGATGACAGTTGATTCGATACGCAATTGCATGCTCTATGAATGAATAATTTCTAAAGGAAGGTAAGTAATCTACAAACAAGTTGATGAAACAGGAGTACCAGCAATCATAGTTAAAATCATCATTTCTATGTTCTATGGTCGATTTAATAACCTTTTCCGCAAATACAATTTATCATAAAGTCAAATCTGACTGATGTACGTTTATAATACTAATTGTTAGGTCATTATTTACACTGAATGACGACAGATTTTTTTTTGTTATTTCCTGATCATGACAAAGAGCACACGGTGGTGTGACCGGTCGGTAGGGGATGCTCTCTTCTCTATCGCACGTGATCCCACCTCTGATGTTTTGGAGGTCCGTTTTTACTTTGCTCCAGTTTTGTATTGTTTAATGAGTTCTGAGTTTGAATGATGTTCGTTATCTCCATATATTTCATATGTCATTTCAAGATAACTACAAATCAATAAAGAATTGTCATTTACTATTTATTGAATTATGAGAAATTCGAAAAATGAGTAGACATATCGATAAGATCAATTTTGGAAAATATTAAATGGTATTGATTTTATGTGAGATTTATCATAAAGTTTGGTTGTTATATTACCATTAATGTCTATTTCAAGTAAACTATCCAAATATAAAAAAGACGTGATAGACTCTATGATATCTTTTATTTCAAGTTCACCATGTTATATCGTATTGACATAAGAATGGAAATAACCATTTAATTTCCTTAGAAAGAAAAACTTTTTTCTCATCAGATTGTAAAACGACATGTTATTGTTTATGCAGCAAATAAGTTTAATCCAATCATGACGAAAAAAGCATTAAAGGTGGGAAAACGTGCCATCGAGTACTTTGTAAGCCTCTCCTGACAACTGGATACCCCCGCTGTGTACTCCTGTCATGATAACCCGTCATATCACATTACGGAGAACGGTTTATAACAGCAAAGTAGAAAATAGTCCTTGAGTTCTTTTTGTAATCTTGTTAAAGCATAGCAAAGATAATGGATTTGCCAGTAATAGCTCATCTGCAATTTAGATAAGACACCACATGTTCAACTAAAACTTAAAAAATAAAAGTTTTCTACTTAATTAAAAAAACCGTCCTTTGGCTTAATTTGAAACTGAAATACTTTTTTCAAATTAAAGTGTCCAATTTGCAAAAAAAATAAAGGTCGCATATAAATAATGTAATGAATCTACAAGTCAGTAAAGCATTATGCAATTTTTTCAGGAATATAAAAAACTTGAAATTTCAACTTTATTATATACTATTAAGTTAATACTAAATACAGGTATAGATAAAGTATGTACGAAAGAAACGACAAGAAATATATGTACATTTTGACTAATTCCATGCTGATAAAAAGATCTTAATGGAAAGTGAAGATGTCATGTCTCTGCTGACAATTGATTAAGTCTATTGCCCGGATGCAATCAGCAAATACGAGAAACCCAAACGTGAGGGTAAGAAAACAAATACCAAATAACCCAACAGTTTGTGAAGATCTGCGATCATCTGGAGCACTTGTGCGCCTGCGCACTGAACTCGATAATGTGGACTTCTCGACAGTAAGGTTTCGCTTTATTTCTTTGATTTCTGCTTCCTGCTCAGCAGTGAGATTAACCTTTGGGTTCAGATCATAGGTCATAGAACAGGAACAAATACAATTTGTATCAACGATGGAAGATGAAGGAATAGTTGTGGTAGTTATTGCTACAAAAATAAATAAAAGGGAAACGATTAACATATGAAATACATGTACATGGAATCAATAATCAGTATTCAAGATCAAAAGTCCATTTAACAATGCAAAATTGGAGCAGAGCAAACACCGACTTCTAAAGCATCAGAGGTGGGATCAAGTGACATTGAGGAGTGAGCAACCCCTGCCGACCGATCACACCCCTCCGTGTCATGATCAGGAAATAACGGAAAAAATGTGTTGTCAATTAAGTGTCCAATTAAGTGTCCATTAAACAATGCAGAAATGGAGCAGAGCAATTAATACAGACCTCTCAAAAATCCGAGTTGGAATCAGGTGTCATGGATAAGTGAGCATCCCAAGTGGTCCTTCTTATGATCGGGAAATAACGGAAAATCAGTCGTCAATTCAGTGTGTAATAAATGACCTATCAATGAGTATGAAAAGGTCAGTATTTGCCTCAATGGTAGATTGTATTTGCTGACAAGGTTATTGTATCGACTATAGAACTTACAAAATGATGACTTTAAAGTCAATACGATTCGTAGAAACGATATTTTCGATATTATTATTTACTCATCTCATTCGTTACACCTGACTGTTGTATTGTCACATGTAACGGCGTGAAATGGCGACCCCTGTTCGTGCTGGTTATCTTGCATTACCTTTGTTTTCATTTTATTGCAGTTACATGTATTTGTTTTTGTTTGTAGACTGCACTGACCTGTGCAACTGTTTTTAGTCTCTTTGTTATCTTACTCTCTTGCATTAGAAAAAGTACGTAGTTATTTTTGTCACTAGCGAGAGCTGTATAGAATACTTCCGACTACACTTCCGACTACCCTGTTGACGATTGATTACACTGAACAGTATCAAGCGGTCGGTTCTTTATGTAGAGGCTCTCAGATATAGCAAGAGACCGATTGAATATGGCGGAAAATTTCTTTTTACGAATTGTGTTCCGCTTAAAACGAGACTTGCTGATATTTTTTTCATTAACTTTTTTGTCAATAACTTACCACTTCTGAGAAATTCTTCACATGTAAAGCATGTTCTTGCCTATCGAATCAACTATGAGATGGAAACCTTTTATGCAGTTGGTGAAGGTATATTGCTGTGTAAAAGGGGACGTTGACGAGTGAAAAGTTTAAGTCATCACGTCATTTTCAAGTAAAATATCTAAATGTGAAACAGATGTGTCACACTACGAGTTATTTTTTATTTCAAACTCACCAGGATATATTATCGACATAAGAATAGAAATAACCATTGTTATTTGACAATGCGTCGCCGATATATCTAAATGTCAAATTGATGGCCACAGCAAGTGTTTTCTTCCTTTTTCTCGTATAAGATTTTCGATAAAGTATGCTTCATAAGAATACAAAAATAGATCTGCTAATAACGGGGCGTAATTGGTACCCATATGGGAATTACAATAGATTTTAGGAAGACCACGCCTCTGAGAACCACGCAATATTGTCAATTAGAAACTCAAACATTTCTTAATATAAGCATCAGAGTACGTGTGTGCAATCAAAATGATTTTTTTAAACTGAATAATTTTGCAAATGACCCATGACAACGTAAGTAAATTTTCGAGTTCCATTTTTATTGAAAAAGTAGTTGTCAATGATATCAAAAAGCTCAGACTTTAATTTATCGTTTGGAATGGTTGTATATAAAGTTGAAAAGTGGCAAGTTTTTAAAATGTTGATTTAAGTAAAATCTTGTGGTTCATGTATCTCATTAAGTGCAGGATAATCATGAAGCAATTTGTATAAAGAATGATATATTGTGCATAAGTAGGAAAATACACTAAGGTATTCGATAAAAAAGGCCCGTAAATTAACATGGTAAAGATTAAGTAATTCTGAATATCTTTAAATAATGATATATATGCTAAAAAAAGAATGATTAGACCCCATCAGTTTTTTAAATAACTAAGATAACATTTTTTTCTAAATGTAAATTTAAAATTTATAACAGTAAAAATGTGATAAGATTTAATGTCATCTTTGATTTCTTCACATTATCTTTTTGATCAAGACCATGGCGTAACATTAAAATAGTACACTGATCATTAATAGAAACTGTCTAATTGGACATCAAAATAGAATCAAATACTGGTCTTACCATATTTAAAAAAAAACACTAATGAAAGCTTTTATTATCCTTTGGCAAAACTGTTATAAATACCTTGAAAAATAAGCTTAATGTTTTTGCAGGGTTTAACGTTCCACAGTTCTTTTACCAATATTGATACTGATATTATTAAATGATGGCTGTATTTAAATACATACTTAATTTTTTTTTAATGAATAATGCAAAAATGCATGAAGTGTGTGATAATTCATTTTTTAAAACGTGGTAATGGCATTGAAATATAAGCGATATGCGAGGGTAAGAAGATGTGACAGAGTGGGCGGCTTGTAATTTGTGTATATCACTGATCATAATTTACACTTGACCTCCAAAATTTCGATTATAGTTCATCTGAGCAAATAAGATTTATCATTAAGTCAAATGCTGACTGACGTTTTTCATACTAATTTTTAGATCATTATTTACACATGAATTGTCGACGGATTTTTCCCGTTATTCCCCGATCATGACACGGCTGGTGTGACCGGTCGGCAGGGGATGCTCATTCCTCCATGGCACCTGATCCCACCTCTGATGTTTTGGAGGTCAGCTCTTCTCCAAATTTGTATTGTTTAATGAACTTTTGAGCTTGAATACTGATCAGTATCACCATATATTTCATTTAAGTTCATTTTAGCGGTTAAAAATATGAAGTCATTGCGGAATAGATGCAATATAGCAAGGCTACATGAGGACATCGATGAAATATTGCTTTGGTCAATGGTCAAGATGGTACAAGTATTAAAAAATTACAACATAAAAAAACCCTAAAAAATCGTTTAAACATGTGCAATTTTCAGTTTTGATTATAGTAGCATGCAATAAAGTCCTTAATCTGGATTTCTAAAGAAATTTAATGGCGGAAAAAAGTGAAATTCTGTTCTTTCTTAAAACTACGGGTAATGTAGAACTCATATGTTTTTTTTTCTTAATGAGAAAATGATGCAGGTTTTGATAGGAATTGTCTGAAACCACAATTAGAAAAAAAATACATGGTTTTACACTCTTAGGATTTATTAGCAGTATAAATTATGTCATTGCAAGTAATTTGAAGGATCATCTTCTTGAAGACCTCTGAGAAAGGAAGATTCTTAATGAAGATTCAAACTTCCTGCCCTATTGAAACTTAAAAAGTGTAGCTTGAACAAAAAAATTCAAGATAACTGAAAAATAAATACCATTTGTTGTCTCTTGGTGACTTTTTGCAGAATTTGGAATCGAAGAACAAACTCCGAAGTGTTTTGCGCTGCATGACTCGTCATAGTAAATCCCTGTCGACCCGTAGATTGTTACACAGTTCTCAGAGACACTGTCTGGCTGCGTGCTGGCAAAATTACTAAAGGTGTGAAGAATCCCCGACAATGTATACAAGTCTCCCTCCAATTCTGTGTATCCCAAGTAATAGTCTGCCATCGTGGTTCTGAAAACGTAAACCTCCATATCTAAATTTACGTACTTTTGTGTATAATTTTTTAATTTCACTTTTTGATCATAACATTAAATTATAGACACAGTCACCGACCCGTATGAATTTCTCAGAGACTGCACTGTATCAAACACATCTCTATCAGGAATAACGGCCAAGAACCCATTTGAGGATCGACAAAACGCCTCGTTTTCAGTAAAGTTCATTTCTTTCGGGTTCAACCAAAAGCAGGCTTTGGTATCATCTGGGAAAACGTGTTCTTTACTCTGCGAGTTACCATTGCATGTTGTAGAGCCTATGGCCAGTAATCAAGAAAAGATGTGTCAAATACATTATATCTTTAACATGCTTTTTCTTAATGTGCAAAGATCCGTAAATTTGCATACTATTTTAACAAAGAAAAAACTTGACAAAGATTTTCTAACGATCTCATTGGCAAATGAAAATTAAAGACATAATTATAAATAATTTATTTTATCGGGCAGATAAATAATAGATCATTACTTTTTATACATAAACTATGAGGAGAAATGGAAAAAAAACAACAACAATATACCACCTTTAGGATTGACACCATGAAGTATTCCTAGAATTAATCCAAAAAATCTCCAAAAACTCATCACTCTAAATCTAGACCATACAAAAATGATATCATGTACGGGCATAAATCTAGAAACTGGACATACCAATGTAACCTCTTGATCAATTATCACTTAGTAAAGTCAATATCAAAACGTGTAAGGTTTGATTGTTTCGTTCAAAACGAATGCGTGTAATGAATTTAAGGACTGTATTATGAAAACTCTTTCAATAAATGACAATTCTACAAATATTAAGTTACTTATCAAATATTGAGCGTTTTATATAAGAATTTAATCCAGTCCAAGTCAACAGGGGGTAGGTATATTGTTGATGTGATATTATGGTTCACTCTAACGAAAGAATAAAATTAGTTGGGAGATAAGCATTATCTTCTTTAAATTTTGGAAGCGTAAGGGAAAAAAACTGTGTAAATGGTTTGATAGAGATTTAAGTGATAAAAGGATAAAACTAAGTTTTGCTTTATAGAAGCTTAACTGTAAAAAAAAAAAAGTGGAACTAAGTTGTGTATGTTGGAACGTCCATAAACATTTCTTTTTTTGATATTTTTTTCATTCATTTTGAGTATTCTAATCTTTTTAAGACCATCATCATTTTTTGCCTTAATCCAAACTTTTTAATCACAAGAAAACGTTACAGATCCTAGATATCGAATATCGAAAACATAACTCTCCTTGGTGTTCATATTATTCTTCACCTTCAGCTATAGTTCTGCTGGACACATAATTACTAGTGACGCATAGTAAATAATGAGAACCTTAGTTTATTAATCTTTAAAGGGCCAAATTTAGGGAACCCCGATCTTTTAACGGGCATTATAATTTCATTAATATAATGGATTACGAGGGCTGTTCAATAAATAATGTCCTGAACTGTATGACATACTATGGAAAGCCGTAGGGTACCCCCACATTATTATTATATTTTCCTATATAACTATACCAAAAATAATTATGTCATCCAAACTTGCTTTTTACAACATTATTATTATTTTCCTGCAACAATTATAATCTTGTCTGTTAAATGTGTACACATTATTATTATTGTGTCCTACAATTATAATGATTCACTTTACAACAATAATCTTGCCAGTCAATATGTAGACACATTATTATAATTTTTCGCCTCATGATTATAATCTTGTCAGTCGATGTGTACACATTATTATTATTTTGTCCTACAATTATAATGATCCAAACTTTACAATAATAATCTTGGCAGTCAATGTGGACACATTATTATAATTTTTCGCCTCATGATTATAATCTTGTCAGTCGATGTTTAAAAACATTTTTTTTTATTTCACCTCAAAATTATAATAATTATTCTTACTTTTAACAATTATAATCATGTTTGCCCAAGCTAACACATTATATTTATTTCGCTTCAATTTCATGCCAATTTTATTTCACATCGATCATACAATTATAATCTGTCTTACTCCAACAATAATAATCGCGACCAAAAAAGTTGCAACATTATTATTATTATTTAGACGCTTGAAATCAAACGTTTCTGTGATTTTGATGTACTGAACAATTATAATCTTGTCAGATTTTCTTTGGGAAAGATTATTATTATTTGGACGCTTGAAAAAGTAAACGTTTGTCTGCCGAAGACAATCACGTGGTTTAAGGCCATGTGCTTCCCTAGTATCAACAGTGCCGAGGACGGCGCCAGTGAAAGGCAGGCGGTTTGCCGGTAAGTAAAGATGATTTTGTTATATTAATGTACAAGGAAGTGAATTTCATTCATTCGATAAAGGAAATGTCTCAGAAATCAGCTGTCAGTATGCTGTTATTAAACGACAGCTTCGGAAGAACTTAGTTCGAATTATCTCTGTACTTTTGTATAGGAGATTGAGATTGCATCAATGCATGCCATTGCATTGTGAATTTATGTTCCAAATCTAGATAAAGTGGCGTTAAGTTGAATGATATACTGTACATGTATATATTTACTAACAGATATTTTTTAAAGTTTATTAATAGCTTGTACTTTACAGTTTTAACTTGAATTTTCTTCTCTGAAGTAAGTTATTCATATTGAGATCTATTGTTATTTACATTGCGACTTGGGTCAGTTGAGTTGCCCATATAAGACTGTTTGCTCTACAGTCGCAAAGTTAAGAGTTGATCCTCATGACATGTCGTGGGTTCGAATCCCACTGTGGGACATGGAGACCAGTCCTTCATATGCAATTTACTATATACAATGCACAATATTGATGGAGCCGAAAAGATTTGTCTGTACTCTGCACCCAGTAACAGAAAAAGTGTGCGATGATAGGTACAGGTCACAGCAGGTGCGTGACATATACCATGTGATCAGAGGTAGCAGGGCAATCCGTGGCTCTAAGCACTTCCAGGACTACTACATTCAGATAAAACAGTATAAACCGAGGTCCTGTGTCACAGTTGGTGCTGGCACAAAAAAGGTCCCTCACTGCTCAATGGCCATAATTGCTGAGTATAGAATAAATTTAAAGCTCTCCACCAGCAAATGGTGGCGTCTCCATATGAATGAAAAATTCTTGAGAGGGACATTAAACAACATAAAGACAAACAAAAAACATTAAGTTAAAAGTCTGACTATTGATAAATTGTCTTGATTGGCTGATTTTATCTATGATTGGATGAAAACAATTTTTATGAAATAACTGTTATGTTGCAGATTATGCACAAGTTGAAGAAAGGAGCTGCTGTGGGATGGTAAAAAAAGTTCCAGGTAAAGGACAAACTTTTCCATTTATTCTAAAGGGGTATGAACATTGCATATTTACTGTAAAATCACAAATTTTCGTGGAGGTTTAATTTTTGTTGTTTTCGAGGTGTGGGGAGACCCACAAATTCATGTCCACCACGAAATGTAAAGTGTTACACATAAAACTACTCAACAATTCTTCAGACACAAAATCAAATTCCCAGGATCCAAATTTTTTCCTGAAACTATGAAAGTTTGAACCCACGAAAATATGTGATTTTACAGTAAGTATGTTCACCTCTGGGTCAATCTAATTAAAGTTAAATGTTAGATCCACTCGCATACTTGCTACTCTAACATCTAACAATATCCCATAGAGGGTTACATCTAAGGTCAAATTCGGAACAACTGTAGACATTCCTTTCAACAAATATTCAATGATTTTGCAGGCGACAATTTGATTGGATGATAGAATCTGACCTTTGACTTGACCCTCTGTGAGATGTTGTTACTGGATGTTAGTGTAGCAAGTATGCGAGCGGATCTAACGCCTCTGGGTGTTTCTTTTTAAATTCACAGCTTTTAAGAGTTAGATAATAGATTCTAAATTTGAGAATTTCTACATTTTTTACTGAATCATAGGTCACCATGAGAAATACAAATTATGCTCTAGTTTTTAAAGAATTATTTGCACAATAAGGAGCAACAAAGAGTCTTGATTTTTATAGGGGTGCAGATTTTAAAGTAAGAAAACTGTGTTGTAAAGAAAGAAGAAGATTTTCCATCAAATAATGGTGGATGACAAAGGTAAAGAGGACAGTAATGATTAGAAAGAATTTATTATTTAACACAGGGGCAGATTTTTTGTTGCAGTTTGTAAATGCTATTCAAAGTGTTTAGCATATAAATTTTTATTAAAATATCATGATGAATGTTCATGCAACTTAATAGCTCTTATGAATGTTTATAGTTTAAGCATATGAAGATTAATCAAAGTCTCTTGAATAGTTTCTTTAAACCTAAGCTTTACTCACTAATTTAAAGAAAGGTCAAGGTCAAAAGAAAGGTCAAATAAAATAATGATTATGAAGTTGAATAGATCCCATCAGTATGTATCTGGCACTATCTGCATATATATAAGGTTCGATAGAAATATCTGAAACAACCTTTGAAACTGAACCTAACATAATTTAACAAAAATTAATGTCAAGGTCAGAAATAAGAAACTCTTATTAATTACCGTCTTCCTTGGAAGACGGTATTGTATAGTTGAAGTTTTTTACAGTCTTCGGACTATGCACTTCCTCTCTTTTGTGATTGGTAGAAATTGCATGATGAGAAAATTTTCAATTATTTCATTGGTTGAAATGCTGTTCAAGGCAAGGGAGGTAACTTTCTGATGATCTAATTTTCGTACGACTTAACAATTTTGCAAGATTTCCAATCTTAAAAAAATGACAAAACGAACAGCAAAATCAGCAGTAATTAATTCTTAATAACATGGTATTTTTTATAGCAATAAATGAATATGTTTCTTAAATTTCATTATAAGTAAAATTTGATTTTTATAGCTTGCAGGCTTTACAATTTGTTATTATTCTTTTTCCCTTTCTTGTTTGAAAAAGGGAATGGAATCAGCCGAGGTTTGCCGAAAGCTCTCGGTCAGTCAAAGTTTACGGAGACGACCGAGCGACAACCGTGGTAGGGCTAATGCCAGTAAAAAGCTAATGTAGAAATACAAAATTTAAAAGAATTATATGGCCTGATAGGTGTAGATCAGTTTACTGTTTAAGGTTGTTGCTAAAGACGGTAAGCTTTTTAGAAAAGCTCTACTTGTAAAATATATGTATCAGCATATGAAGTTCAAAGTGTGATGGAAGGACAGTAGGACATGTTATTAAGATTAAGTAAACCTCATTACAAATGTTTATGCTAAGGTGAAGCCACAATATTAGGTCATTTTTCATTGAAAAAAGGAACATTTTTTAAAATTCTGTGGAACACTAGAACCAAGTGACCTAGGTGAGCATTGTGGCCCATGGGCCTCTTGTTATGTGTAATTTAATTCATCATGAATCAGGTGGTATAATGATATTTTTATATTTCAGTTCTTCCTATGAATGATGTCATAACCCACTTTGCAAAAAAAAGTTTGTTGGAGAGAAAAGGATCTGAAGAGGGAGAAAGAATTGATTATATTCAGATGGATTTATAGACTGTTAGACATTTTGCTATCACTTAATTCTGTACTATTAGTTCCGCAACACTGAGCCTATAAGCTTTTGACTTGATGGTTTATCTAGTTTGAGAGAGCATAGTCCATTTTTTAGGCATTTCAAGATTAACAATGCAGAATATGTACACATGTAATGGCAGGTAAAAATTCCACACAAACAGGACACTGATAAGACTGGAATTTAGAGATATTTCATTTCTCTCTTGTGTGAATTAAAAAAAAATTAATGCCAGAAACAATATAATAAATTCATAACATAGTCTTGTTTTGTGCTTATACTTTTATGCCCCCATAAATGAAGTTTCGGATATTGCGAATTTACAGATAAAGCGGAGTCATCTTGGATCCCCAGCTATATAAATTTAATGAATTTCTTGTATGGTTATAACGAATTACAGATATAGCGAAGTAATTTCATAGGTCCCTGTGACTTTGTTATAACCGAGTTTTGCTGTATAGTTTTTGTCATGTCCATCTGTCTGTCTGTTTATCTGCTAAAACTTTAACCTTGCCCATACCTTTTGATTTTATTAGTGGAGCTATGACTTTCATATGTCACATATGTATTCTTTGTATTAAGACCTTTCATTGGATACCACCAACTTTGACCTTGGAGATTTACATACTAATAAAAACGATGCAAAGATTAAACTTTTTTCAAATGCAAATTGAATTAATTGGTACCAAAAGTAGGGTATTCTCACTGGAAATCAATTGCAAAATTTGAAAGTAGTCCAATGTAAAAGTACTTTCAATAAGTACAAATATCTCCAAGGTCAAAAGGTCAAGGTAATTGATATCCAATGAAAGGTCTTGCCACGTAGGATACTTATGTAGAGTATGGAAGCCCTAGCCCTAACCATTCAGAAGTTATAGCCAGGGTTGAAAATTTTTAAAAGTAGGTCAAACTCCAAGGTCAAGGTCAAAGTTCTTGTTTTCAAATGAAAGGTCTTGTCACAAGAATTAAATGTGTAAAGTATGGAAGCACCAGCCCTAACCCTTTAAAAGTTATGGTCAAGGATGGCTTTTTTAAAGTAGGTCAAACTTAAAGGTCAAAGTCAAAGGGTCAAAATGCTTGGTATCCAATGAAAGATCTTCTCACAAGGAGTACATATATGAGGTATGAAAGCCCTGTCCCTTACCATTCAAAAGTTATAGCCAAGGCTAAATTTTTTTTCACAGGTACGGAAATATACAAGGTCAAAGGGTCAAGGTTCCAGGTATCCAATGAAAGGTTTTTTGACAAAAAATACATATGTGAAGTATAAATGTCCTGGTATCTACTGTTAAAAAAATATGGCCAAAGTAAAAGTTAAAAATTTTCATGTAAAAGTGGGTCAAACTCCAAGGTCAAAAAGTCACATTTGGTGGTACCCATAGAAAGGTCTTGTCACAAGAAATACACGTGAAATATGAAAGTCATGGCTCTACCAAATCAAAGTTATGGGCAAGGTTAAAGTTCTTGCGGACAAACAGACAGACGGACACGACAAATACTATATACCCCCAAAACTTCGTAAAAAACTTTAACATTGGAAATAACTTTTGAATTGCAAGGGGTAGAGCTTTCATACTTCACACAGGTAATCTTTATGAGAAGACCCTTCACTGGATACCAAGAGCTTTGACTTTGACCTGCTTTAGAAAAACAAACCTTGACAAAATATATTAAAGGGTACGAGCTATTGCTTTCATACTTTAGTTTTTTAATCCTTGTGACAAGACCTATCATTTGATTCCTAGACCTTTGACCTTGACCTCAGAGTTTGACTTACTTTTTAAAAAAATGTAACCAAAATTTTAAAACGGTTAGGGCTAGAGCTTCAATACTTCACATGTATTCTTTGTGGCAGGATCATTTATTGGATACCAATAACTTTGACCTTTTGACCTTGGAGATTTCCGGACTTGTGAAAAAACTTGAACCTTAGCAATAACTTACAAATGGTAATAGGGCTAGGGCTTCCATACTTCACATATATATTTTCTGTGGCAAGTCCTTTTATTGGATACCAAAACCTTGATCTTTTGACCTTGACATTCCAGGACTTATGAAAAAACATTAACATTGGCAATAACTTTTGAAGAGTAAGGGCTAGGGCTTTTATACTTCCCCTATGTAATTTTTGTAACAAGACCTTTCATTCAATACCAATAACCTTGAGCCTCTGACCTTGATCTTGAAGATTTCTGTACTTATGAAAATTTTTTTGCCTGGTCATAACTTGGGAACAGATGTTGATAGGGTTTTCATGTTTCACAATTGTATTTCCAGTTAGGGGACCCTACTTTGGGTACCAATATATTAAATTTGCATTTAAGAGAAGTTTAATCTTCACTATGTTGCCATACTGGGGCATCAGTGTTTCACAAACACATCTTGTTTGGAAATCTACTTGCATGCAAGTTTTTTTTTCAATACTAGATTTGAGTGTGAATTCTCTCTCAAGGTCAAGTACATGTATGTGAATGTACTGTGTAACTCATTAAAAGTCATGTGTATACAGTTTACAGATTATCAGACACAAATATGAAGCCCACTATTTTAAGTACACATACAGTATATAGGCCATATAGTAGCTCCCATATTTTGAACATGTATTTCCAATGTTGGTGAACAATATTTGGGTCTACAATTATCACATGTATATGACAGAGCTCCAACTTTTCCAACATGCCTTCCATTATATGTTTGTCATTCAAGTCCAAAAGAACACCAGAAAAAATCACTATTTAATATCCATTCAATAACACATCATTACCAGACAACTTAAATAAAATAAATGTGCAAATTACTTTCAGGAATTTTTTTTTAAAAATCTCATTGCAAAATATTCAAATAGGAAATGCCTCAATATTTTGGTAAATATATATAATATACAGATTTACAAGAGGCTCAGGGACCAACTGGTTCACCTATGCAATGTGGCTAAGAAAAAAAGCAAAAATCAGTTTAGTATTGAAAAACTTAAATGCATAAATGGTCCTGACATACCCCTAAAAGGGAGGGGTATGATTTGACAAAATTGAACGTACACTAAATAATGATGTTTATATATTTTTGACTGTGGCCTTTTTCCCTAAAGTTTGAACTCTCAGTGTGGCCCCACTCTACATCCAGGGGGTCATGATATGTACAAACTTGAATCTACCCTATCTGACAATGATACCACATGAGTACTAGTATTCACCTTTCTTGGCCCACTGGTTAAATAGAGTATCAAATGTAAATATTTCAATAATGAAAATGTATCAAAAATGCATCATTTCAAATGAAGTGTTAAATAATGTTAAAAAGACAAAGTTCATGGAACTGGAACAACACATGCAATCTTTCATCAAGAATTCTCTGAAATTTGACAAGACTCTTTTTTCTTCCAAGTTATTCACATTGCAACTTTTTGTCCAGACCGGCACACTCTTCTAAGGAGATTTCTCTGATATTTATCACGGCTGTGTTTTCCTTATCATCCAACTGCCAGATTTTCGTCCATAGGTCTAAAACTTATGATGTGCTCAAAGTCTATCAGGGTGAAGTTCAAACTCCAACATAAAATTTATGGTTCCCGAACCCTGAAAAATAAAATTAAAAACACAAGAGTCTTTATAATTATCACTGACACACATAATCATGGGAAAACTTGGTAGGGTGGAGAAGTTTTTTCATGATACGTATGACAAGTGGGGCTCCCAATGTGACAGCAAACTGGGTTTTTCTTGTGTGAACAGACTTGGCATAAAATTCTTACATGAATAAAAAATGTACATTTGCAAGAGTTGTTTCCCTTTATAAAAAAAAACCCTCCCTATTTTCTCACAATATCCTTTGTAATTTGCATGAATTTAAAATTTTTTTTTTAGACTTCTTTTGACAATTTCATAACGGCAAAGTATGGGGCGACAAAAAAGCCTTCGCAAAATGAACATACACTGGGATATTTTGCACAGAAATGACGATGGTCAAATAAAGACCCATGGGTCACATTGCTCACCTTAGCTCTTTGGCTTTCAGTATTGAAAAGTAATAATTTCTACTGGACCCAAACTAATCCTAAGGGGAGGGGAAGCGGGCATGATTTGAACAAGCTTAAATCTACACCAACTGATGATGCTTTCTATTTCTTTGACTAATCATGGCCTTAGAAGATTTCTAATGATCTTTCCTTTGTATTTTTGTGTAAAACTTTGATTTCCATTGTGGCCCCATCCTTAACCTGGGGATCATTATGTATGATAAACAGATGCCAGATACTTCTTAGTCGGAAAAATTTTCTTGAGCCTTATGCACTTTTTACATGGATAGTTTAATTCACAGTAAATTAATGAGAAGTAAAATAATGCGTATTTAATTGTGTTCACACGACAGCTAAAGCAAAGTAAAGTTATGCAAATCAAAATTTTATTTCTACATTAGGGAGATCAGCAATGATATTATGACGTCATTTGTTATTCACATCATGTGTGCCGAGCAGATTCAATTGACATAAAAATCATGTTTTTTATACAATTTAGTGATAAACATATTTTTTCCTTTATTTTTCCTTAAAACCTAGCACTGATATCTAAATCTAACTATTGACATGGGGCCTGTGACTTAATTCAGGCCTTACGCATGAGTCAAAATTTAATTTGAATTAGCTTCGCTTAGCGTTCACACGGAGCTAATGCGAAGTAATTTAATGCGCAGTTAATTAATTCAAATTAAACTTTTTCACATAAAACTCTCCGTGTGAATGCTGTTCAGATTTAATTTACAGTAACTTACGTTTAATTAAACAATAAAATGCTTTCCTTGTTTGTTATTACTGGAATGAACGGAAGCAGCTGTTGCAGAAAAAATACATAACCCGCATAAGCGGGTTATGTAAATTTTTCTGCAATAGCTGCGACCGTTCATTCCAGTAATAACAAACAAAGAAAACCATTTTATTGTTTATATTTATATCTGTTTAAATAATCAATTAATTAAAAGTAGGATTAAAAAGATTCATTATTGTATTAATGATGCGAACATCTTCATATGTTTCATTGATGGAACAGCCACTGATTAAGAAATCTGTACAGGCGACATGCCTTCTGTAGTTTATGCAGTGATGAACGCAATGGGGTTTCTTAAGAAATAAAGGAGAAAATATTCATTGGATGTAGATATTTCGAATTAAACTCTCTGTGTGAACAGGGCATTAGACTCAGGTAAGCTAAATTGCAAATAATTATTTACAAAGTAGATGACTGTTCTAAACATACCAATATATTTCTGCAGAATGAATAAAAATATAAATCTCAATGTAAAACTTTCTGAGTACCCATTACATTTTTTTAACCCCCCCCCCTACCCCCCAAGATAAATCTGCCACTGTTATAAATATATAATTTCTTAATTCTTTCTCACCAGTGACCACTTTTGTTCTTTTTACCTCGGTGTAATCTGCAATCTTTTTCTTTCTTTATAACACTGTTTTCTTTCTTTAAAACCTGCATGCCTCTAAAAATCAAGACCCTTTGTTGCTCCTAAAATTAAATGTACATGTGCAAATAATTCTTTAAAAACTAAAGCATATTTTCCATTTCTCATGGTGACTGAAGATTAAACAAAAAATGTAGAATTTTAATATTTTCTGAAATGTTTCATATTAACATTTGTCAATTGACTCTTTTAATGGCAGCTGTGGCTTGAAAAACAGAATATTGAAAATTGTTTTTTTTATCATCATGATCATTGAGCAGGTGAACCAAAAACAAATCCAATACATGAGTTATTCCTGGTTGTGTTTATATACTAAGTGATTTGTTGTGCAGTTTATTGAACACACCCAGTAAATTCTAACAATAATTAACATCGCTCTTGATAACAAACATAGGGTCGCCCATTTGGAGCAGTGGTCAGAGCTTTTGCTCTTAGAGTTGCAGAGAAAGGAGTTTATCATTATGTTTCGGGTTCAAATCCCACTGTGGCACGTGGAGACAGGTCTTTTGGATGAAGCCATATAAATTGAGGTCCCATGTCACAGTAGGTGCTGGCACAAAAAAGATCCCTCACTGTTCAATAGCCCTGAGTGCCGAGTATTAGTCAAAACTTGAAGCTCTCCACTTATAAGTGGTGGCGTCTCCATATGAGTGAAAAAGTCTCGACAGGGACGTTAAACCATGCACGGATCTAGAGGGGGAGGGAGGACCCCCCATGGAATTTGCAAAGTTTTCAAATTTATATACTAAAGCAAGAAAAAAGTTACTTTGGACTCACCCTCGGAAAACGAAGAACTCCCTGGTAAATGCTAATTTTTGTTAAATTGGTATGTAAATATGAAAATTCCAAAGATAAAAGTCATCAACTACGCCCCCCCCCCCCCCCAACACAAAATAGGTTTTGGAAGTTTGGGCGAGTTTACATGGAACCCCACCCCCGAGAATGTCTATCTGTGCCTGTGTTAAACAACAAACATACATAGGAGTTTGCAGTCAAATTAAGAGAAAAGTTTTGGTCCAATAATAGATAACTTCATAAAATCAAGAAAAATCAATAAATGAAATCATCAATAGTGTTTTATCAGAGTAAGTTTCTAATAATCGTAAGAATCAACGTAAATGGCTTACAGCAGAGAAAATTCAAGCTAATATGTAAAATACAAGCATATACTGTTCGTAAAGATATATCATTCAACTTTACGCCACTTTATCTAGATTTGGAACATAAATTCACAATGCAATGGCATGCATTGATGCAATCTCAATCTCCTATACAAAAGTGCAGAGATAATTCGAACTAGTTCTTCCATAGCTGTCGTTTAATAACAGCATACTGACAGCTGATTTCTGAGACATTTCCTTTATCGAATGAATGGAATTCACTTCCTTGTACATTAATATAACAAAATCATCTTTACTTACCGGTAAACCGCCTGCCTTTCACTGGCGCCGTCCTCGGCACTGTTGATACTAGGGAAGCACATGGCCTTAAACCACGTGATTGTCTTCGGCAGACAAACGTTTACTTTTTCAAGCGTCCAAATAATAATAATCTTTCCCAAAGAAAATCTGACAAGATTATAATTGTTCAGTACATCAAAATCACAGAAACGTTTGATTTCAAGCGTCTAAATAATAATAATGTTGCAACTTTTTTGGTCGCGATTATTATTGTTGGAGTAAGACAGATTATAATTGTATGATCACTGTGGAATAAAATTGGCATGAAATTGAAGCGAAATAAAAATAATGTGTTCGCTTGGGCAAACATGATTATAATTGTTAAAAGTAAGAACAATTATTATAATTTTGAGGTGAAATAAAAATAATGTTTTTAAACATCGACTGACAAGATTATAATCATGAGGCGAAAAATTATAATAATGTGTCCACATTGACGGGCAAGATTATTATTGTAAAGTTTGGATCATTATAATTGTAGGACAAAATAATAATAATGTGTACACATCGACTGACAAGATTATAATCATGAGGCGAAAAATTATAATAATGTGTCTACATATTGACTGGCAAGATTATTATTGTGAAGTGAATCATTATAATTGTAGGACACAATAATAATAATGTGTACACATTTAATTAATTAACAGACAAGATTATAATTGTTGCAGGAAAATAATAATAATGTTGTAAAAAGCAAGTTTGGATGACATAATTATTTTTGGTATAACTATATAGGAAAAAATAATAATAATGTGGGGGTACCCTACGGCTTTCCATAACATACAATACAGATATCATATGACATGAAGCTTGGCTTTCTCTCATTATTGAATCTTTAATGAATTTATAACAGTTTATGTGACCACTTTTCATCACATAGTTTCATTGTGAGAAGCTGGAAAACAAGGGCTATTCGAGACACTGCATGATAATTGAATGTAATAGAACCAGTAAAGTAGAGTGAAATTAAAAGCTTCATTAAAGCTGCTGTAAAACTTGTTAAAACTCCCAAAGAAATATTCAGTGAAATATGTGAAATTTACAGCAACCAATGTCTGTTTTATAGACAAATGAGCAGGTGGATTTCAATGGTAAAAATTTATATAATGGGCATCAAAAATGGGTACCCTCCTTGCCAACAAAAAATTATAACAACTTAGGTACTGTTTGCCAAATTTCAACAAATAATATATGATGATGTATGATTGACTTTGAGACACATAGTAAATTTGATAGACATAATTTCGGGAGTAGTTACCACTGTTTCTTAGAAACGTTTGACGGTAAAAAAGCTTATTACTCAAAGGTCATCCTATATTTTGAAAAATGAGTGAAAACGACAGCGTGTACGAATGTCTTAACAAATATCAGTAATTGTAGTTATCCACGTTTGTTTGATATTCAAACAGATAATGAAACTTGAATCTATTGCTTAAAACCTTCCAAACAAAATTTACCATAAGATGTACATGATAAAAACAGCGAAAGTCTCACAAAAGCAAATAATTGCAAGAGCACAAAGACATATTTATAATTATGCAATTTTCTTAATTATTAGTGGCATTGTTGTTCAAACTCGTATTCGGGGAGACAGTTTAATTTCTGGAGGAGTCCAGAAAGCAAAAATCGAAAGGTTTATTAGAGGAAGGGCCCAGAATTAGGAATCCACTACATTAAATTTCTTCATGACACAGCGCCCAAACCCGCACACACTGAAGCCAAACCCGCACACACTGAAGAGTAAACAGAAAGTTAATGTTTTTTCACATTAACAATATTCGCCAGATTTTGACTTGTTTCTATTTCCAAACTTGAAGAAACACCTTTCAGAAGGGAGAACAAGTCCAGGAAATCATAGGTCTTGTATTTTCCAGTATACTGAGGGTCATACCCAAAAATTAGTTCTAAAAACAATTGGATAAAAAATGTTACGGACATGTGTTTTAATTAAAAGAGAATATTAAGTTAAATCATAAAGACTAAATCATTGAAAAGCGTCTTTTGCTTCTTTCCGAGCACCGAGGACATTATTTATTGAACAGCCTTCGTATGTTGAAGACTACGCCAGGCGATAGGCCAGACATGCAAAAAAAGACATTAACATGCTGTCATCATGGATTAAATGTATCAGATGTATGTGAAAACCTAGCATCAAAAGATTGAGGGGCAATATGAAAACCAATTATCCTTCTCTGTTCAGGATTTTTTATTCGAGGTACTTTGCACTTTATGCACAATATACTAGTACGTAAAATAAATTTGGAAAAGTAACAGATGAATATACTGAACATTATCGATCTAGAAAAAAATCTATAAGCAATACATATATGAAAATATTTTCCATTAGACATAAATAAGCAGATCAAATAGAAAACGCTTTAATATAAATCTTAGAATATGCACATACATTGTACAAACATCTAACGTCAATTCATTGTAACAATATTAGTGATGATTAAAATCAACCAAAATCTTAATTTTATTTAGAAATAGATATTTCATTACACTTGAATATAACAGTAAAACATTTATCTAAATTGAATTATTCACCGTAATTGGATTTTCTTAAAGTATTTTACGTAAAGATTGGTATGTTATTTCCTCTCACAGTTCATTAAATTTATAATCCGAGAACAATCAGCCAAAACGACTAAACCAAAAGTAAATGTTAAAAAGCAGACTCCTAGAAAGCCCATAGCTTGTGAAGATTTCCGATCATCTGGAGCACTGGTGCGCCTGCGCACTGAACTCGAAAGGGTGGACTTCTCCACAGTGAGGTTTTGTTTTATTTCCAATATCTCGGCCTCCTGTTCCGCCGTGAGATTGACCTTTGGGTTCAGGTCATAGGTCACAGGACAGGAACAAATACATTCTGAGTTGTGGTACGTGGATAAGGCTGTTGAGATCTCAGTGGTTATAACCCCTAAAAATACATATTTGTGTTACTGATGTATGGTAGATTAAAGTTAGTTTTTCTTAGGAAAGAAATTGAATTCAAATAGAAAAAAATGTTTAATAATTTTTGACTCTGAATTTACTTTGTAAAGGATTCTTTTGAAAAGTAAAATAAGTAAAAATGAATAACACAGAAAGACACCTTCGGTCGTTGTGTCTGCACTACTTGCAGAATTAAAGAGTGAAGAACAAACACCGTAGATTCTGTTGCTGCAGAGTACGTCATAGTAATACCCTTCAGATCCAGACATCATAATGCACATTTCCGATTCTCTGTCAGGTTGTGAACTATGAAAATTACTGTACTGTATTAAGATCCCAGACAATGAATACAAGTATCCGGCCCATTCCGTATATCCTAGAAAATAATTTGCCGTCGAACTGGTATCTCTAGAAATATACAAAAAAATTTGTACAGTGAATACATCCAAAGTTTGAATGAAAAAGGTAAAGATAAAAAACAGAGATACAAATGTTAAACGTGTAGCCAGTAGACAGGGGATGGTCAATTCTCTCAAGCACCGATCAAACCTCTGAAAATTACGAGGGATTCTGTCTTTTGCTCTGTTTATCGATTGTAGATTTTACTTCTAATGCACTGGGATATATTAAGTAGACATAGAGAAGGAAGTAACTAGTGTTAATTGATAAAACAGATTTGATACAAAGAAAAGCAACTAGAATGCTGTCACAACTGAAAAATTTAAAGTATGAAGAACGATTGAAGAGTCAAGATAAATTACCAACATTGAATGAGAGGGGATATGATTGAAGGATTTAAAATTGTCAATAAAGTATACTATAAAAAAGTTTTATCTACATCAGTTGAGTGAAACACATATTTCAAGAGGAAACAACTTTAAATAAATGAAACATAAGTGTAACAAAGATGTTGGAAAATACACTTTCAGAAGCAGAGTAATCAAACTGTGGAACAGTTTGCCAGACGCCTTTGTATCAAACACTGTACATCAATTTGAAAACTGACTGGAGAAATATTGGGAATATTACACTCTCAAATATGATTTTACCCAGGAGTATGGACCGTGCACCGGAATCACTGCTCTTGATAAATTAAAAACTAGGCTTTATAATAGCCGAACAACTGCTTCATCAATAAAAATGGTGCTAAAAAATTATCATCTTCGGATTGAGCATCAACAAAATTACATTAATTGTTAAAAGTCACTCTGCTGCTATACACAAAATGAATTGATATTGCAAATTAAATGATAAATACTTTTTGTCTTTCAGGTGCTGACAGAAGGATTAATCCTTAACACCGTGGATTTAAAAAAATGATCTAAACTATTGTCATGCTGATTTATCTAGTTATCTTTATACATGTTAGCGATTTTTTTTCAACAACTTATATGTATAATATTCGTGCGTCAAATTATATTTTTCAATCACATAATTTCTATTGACATGACGAAGTACAAAGTGCTTTATGCCATCTCCAATAGACCTTCTGTAATGTAGCAGAACATTAATGATGTATGTAAAAACTAGAAGACAGATAACTCACTAGGTTCTCTATAGGTAGAACATTTTATTATTTATTGAAACTTGAATATACCTACCCAAATTGTTGTATAAGACTAAGCACGGTGTCATATACGGTAGAATCTGGAATATATGCTAGGTATCCTTGATCTTTTTGGCATTGGGCTTCAGTGTCTGTAAAATTCATCGCCATTAAGCTTAACCAAAAACAGGCTGTAGAACTGTCCGGAAAGACATGCAGCTTACTGGCTAGGATGTCATTGCATAAATTACCTGCCGATTTAAATTAAAAAATTAAGCTGACTATGTATAATGTAAAATAAAAAGCTTGCTAGCTTTTCTAAAAACAAAACCAAAAAAAAACAAGAAAGGCTGAGACCACTTTTTGGCCCCTAATTTTGGGTGCCTTTCAGAATGATACAACAGATTATCCATTACAGACTGTTGTCACCCCTGCCACAAAATGAGCATTGGTTCTAAGTTTTGGAATGCACAGAGGTCACATAGAGGTCAGGAAATAGATAAATTTTCGATTTTTCTCATTTTAATGCAATTTTTCATCAATTTTACAGCACATTATTTTTTGGAATGAATGCTTTGAATCAAAATTTGTGCTGGTCTTCAAGCAACAACATTTAAAGTTCTTAACTATAAACTATCACAATTTAACCAGTGTTTTGATTTTTACATGAAACATAGGAGATAACGAACAGTATTCCAGATCAAAAGTCCATAAAACAATACAAAACAGGAGAAATGGAAACACGGACCTCCGAAACATCAGAGGTGGGATCAGGTGCCATGGAGGAGTGAGCATCCCCTGCCGACAGGTCACACCCATCGTTTTCTTCTTGTCATGATCGGGAAATAACGGAAAAATCCATCGCCAATTCAGTGTGTAAATAATTGACTAACAATTAGTATGAAAAACGTCAGTCAGCATTTGACTTGATGATGAATTGTATTTGCTGACAAGGTCATTCTATCGACAATAGAACTTACGAAATGAAGACTTTAAGGAGGCTGGTGGGTCAACAAATTAATCCCAAATTAACCACCAGATTTAACTTATTTTTTTAGATACGGTATCTTTAGCTGTCAACTATCATTTGACAAAGCAAAAATTCATACATTTTAGTTTTAAAATTTGATCATTTTTGTATATCTTTATATGGAGCTCTCCTTTTAAAGGAGATTGAAATAGTCTAAAAATTGCTGCCACCCCCAGCCTCTTTAAACATCAAATAAAGGGGCCAGATTCGGTCGTTATTCTACCATGTCCTTTATATAAACAAAGTTTAAGTGAAACTTGAAATACATGAGCTACTTCTCTTTACGATTACTTTGAATCTATTGAACTCTGGATTTGCTATTTGTTCTGATAAGCTCAATAAGGTTGTTTAACTGATTTCATTTATCAATAAATATCAATAAAGCATGGGTAAAATAACTGCCATTTGATATTGAGAATGAACGTAATTCTACTGAAGGTGCTTTTTATATTTAAAATTAATGAACAATGTTTAGATTTAAGAGGACAATTTCAATGAGTGACAGTATCAATGTGATTCAATTCGACCCGTTATACTTCAGAAGCAATGTCAGGTGAAGGTCAATGTCTTTTTCCATTGTCATTAAGTGTAAAAATACTGTTGTAGTAAATCATCTGATGCCTTTTTCTGTTTAGAAAACTTAATAAATTTCTGTTTACATTAAATGATGCTACACAATTGACAAAAATGTAACAAAAATAGATATTGGCTTATGCGAATCTCATTTATTTATTAGGGAATATTTGTTTATTTTCAAAGTATGCCTCTTGTTTTTAAAGTTTTATTATTTTTCGTAACCTAAAGAAGCAAGATAGAAAATGATATGAAAATAAAAGTTTTGGGTGTCTACTCTGAAAAAAAAAAATTGCTCATTTTGCCCAAATCTGTTCTTAAGATTGGAAGCTTTCAAAATCTAACATCAGTAATTTTTAGTTTTTGATTAATAACTTCATCATAATTTATGACAATTAATGTTTGAAGTTTAAATAAAACGGACAAATCTTATGGTATAGAATATTTAGATCTAGTATTCATTAACATGATTAAAGCATGATAATAAATTAAAGTAACCTACGATACCTTCGATGACAGTAAGGTCTGCAAAGATTCCAAGAAAAATGCCCAGAATTCTTATAACTTTCAACGTCTTCATAACAGAGTATGCTCTGAAGGTCAATTTCGAAAGGCTTAGTTTTGTGTATGGTTTGTCCATAACCATTAGTATCTGAATCAATCATTGTAGAATTGTTTTCAACAAACAAATACTATGCTATCTAAACAAATATCATCATGAACGATATTCAAATGCTGTTCGTACCTTTTCTTATAGACAAACACCTGCATGATAGTTTGCTTTTCAAATATGTTTGATCAATTGTATAAAGTTTTTCGACCCAGTATGAATTTTTCACCTTTATAGAAAAGACAATGGAATCAATACGATGTAATATGTAAAGATTGCTTTTGAATCTCTCCAATAATGATACTTGTTTGCTCAGCCATTTAATGTAACTTCTATCATTTATGGATGGACATAACGTGACTGTTTCATCTTTAAATTTATCAGAGGTATTGTTTATAAAGAGTAGACACTCTGATTTATCTGAATGTCACCACACTTGTTCAGGAATACGTAATTTTCACAGAAAAGAAGAAATAATCCTATTCTTGAATTAAAACATATTTTTATTTTTAAGGAAATTGTCTTCAATTTAGACTCGACAGAGGAAAAGTTAATAGCAACAATCCCAAATTAATATTTTTTCTGCCTTTGTCATTTTTTTATTTATTTATTTATTTATTTATTTATTTTTCTTTTTAGATTTTTATTAAATTCATTTAAGAAAAATATGTGTGCAATTGGTTCTGTTATTGTTGGAAGCTATACTTTGTCTACAATATTTTTATATCTTGTAAATATTTATTGTTACAAGAATTAACAACACACTGTAAAAAAATATATATTTTTTCGCATCCTTATACACAAATTATTAAGATAGTAAAAAGGTAAGAGAAGATATTAGGCAAATAAATCGATGAGAAGCAACTCTAACTGTGCATTGTTGTTTTCATTGAAGATCGTCCACTAAAAGTACATGTCTTCTCTCTAATTTTCTCTGACGCGTAGAGTCTGCACAATAAGATATATATATATATATATATATATTCCAGTATACGAACAAGGAATTTATCTGTTAAACCGCTTAACAGCAAATAAATTGAGTTATGAGTAAAAATAAATACAAATGATAAATAGGAGAAGTCTCTCTTTGTATTAGCTGACGATGTTAATAATATTCACTGATTTTTTTAGTTTGGGCATCTACTCATTTTATATTTAAAATACATAACTATTTTTAAAAACTCATAAGCAGAGGTCTATATTAAAACACTTAAACTCTACAAAAATTTGAATTGAACATTTTATTGTTATGACAATTGAACTCAAGGTGATTACAGATATTTTTTGCTAAGAAAAAGGGTCATCAGTAAGATTCGATAATAACTAGTTCTCTCTCTTGCTCCTTCTTTTTTGAATCCTCACGAACAAAGATACAAAGGCGGGTTCCAGTAAATGTTCAACCAAGCCTCTTTCTTTACTGCTCACTAAGATATCAACAGTAGTGAAGGAGAGACTTCAAGAGTACTGTGTAACAATATATTCAAGAAGTGGTGTAAATCAGATGTGGATACTTAAAAAATCCAAGAATTTTTTGGACAATTTGAAATCACAAGATTTCACCAAAATCAACAGCTTAAAAAAATAACGACTCTTCAACTTTATACGCAACCATTTTTCAGATTTTTTTATATCATACACAGCTGTCTTTTCCAATAAAGATGGAACTCATAAAATTACTTACCTTGTCATTGGTCATTTGCAAAATTATTGTGTTAAAAAACATTCTGATTGTACACACAAGTGCTTTGAAGTTGACATAAAAAAGATGCTTGAGTTTCTGATTGACAATATCTATGTCGTTTTTGGAGACCAGGTCTTCCAACAATCTATAGGAATTCCTACGGTTACCAATTGCACCCTGTAATTACCAGACCTATTTTTGTATTAATATTTGTGCATAATCTTATGTGTGAAAAGAAGAAACACTTGCTGTGGCCTTCAACTCGACATTTAGATGTATCGACGACGTATTGTCAAAAATCAATGATAATTCCCATTCGTATGTCGATACAATATATCCTTGAGATTAAAGATACGACAGAGTCAGACACATCTGTTTCCTATTTGGATATTTTACTTGAAAAAGACGTTAATGGTAATCATACAACCAAGCTCTATGATAAACGTAATGACTTTTACTTTTTTATCGTCAACATCCCTTATTTATGCAGCAATATACCTTCTTCACCTGCGTACGAAGATAATATATCTCAGTTGATTCGATACGCAAGAGCATACTCTACGTATAAACAATTTCTAAAACGAGGTCAATTATTGACAAACAAATTGATTAAACAAGAATATCAGCAGTCTCGCTTAAAGTGATCATTTCGTTAAGTTCTATTGTCGATACAATAACCTTGTCGGCAAATACAATCTATCATTGAGTCACATGCTGACTGATGTTTTTCATAGAAATTGTTGTCCATATTTATACACAGAATTGACGACGGATTTTCTCGATATTTCCCGATCATAACAAGGAGCATACGGCGGGTGTGACTGGTCGGCAGGGATGCTGCTTCCTCCATGGGATCTGATCCAACCTCTGATGTTTTCGAGGTTCATGTTTGCTCTGCTCTTATTTTGTATTGTTTTATGGACTTTTGATCTTGAATACTGTTTGTTATCTCCATATGTTACATTGAAACAATATACCTTGGTACACTATATTCATGGGTTATTTAACCTTGTAGGGAGACAAATTCTAGAAAAGAAACGTGAAATATAACTACTTACAATAATATCAATATTTTGAAAATCTATGGTCTATCTGATGATCTAGTTTGCAAGTATAAGTTGTTGCAATCTGAAATTATCTTTGACGATCATAAATGTATGTGGCCATTATTGTTACACTTAATTTGCCATGGTGTGATCAGTCACAACCACAGTGTGATCAGTCTTACTTAATCAGCAATATACCTTCATCATCTGCATGCGGAGTTATATTTGTATCAGTTCATTCGATACGCAAGGGAATGCTCTATTTTTTGTTTGCTTTAATAAGCTTTTTAAAATTTTATTTCTGTTCGTTTTCTTCAAATTTCGCGTAGAAGGTTTTCAATACGTGATGCAAAAATGTGTTTGCTTATATACAGGCACAATTAGTAATTACTTCAATTCTTAACAATTAATTGAAAGCCTCTGATATTTAAAAAACTACAGACAGAATGTCAATCTAAAGCTCAAATTCCTTTTTATTAAGAATTTTCCTAGATGATGGATTTCTCTTCCACGACAACATATCCAATCTTAGGGATTTTATAGATCACCATCTTTTATGGTTTCATTTGCATTGTTTAACGGACTTTTGAGCTTCATTACTGTTTATTTTCATATTTCATTTTGGAGAATTTGTATAAAACATTTGAATGTTTTTAATTAAAAGAAAAAAATAACAGACGTCCAATGACAATGTACTTGAATTTTCAAATTCAATTTTTATTGATAAAACAGATATCTGTAGCTATGATACTAATTTCAGCGTGAGAAATGGTTGTATATGATATTGAAAATATTGCTAAGCCGTATGTATTGGTAATTAATGAAGTATTTATTAATGATCATATGATGATCAGATGATGATAAGCTGGAATTACTGATTGAACACTGGGTAAATATATTTTATACCCTATGTACAACTTCAAAGAGAGAGAGAGAGAGAGAGAGAGAGAGAGAGAGAGAGAGAGAGAGAACCAATTCGAGTGGATTGTGCCATATTTGATTGAGAACAGTTCCCTGCAACCTTCCCTCTGAATATATACCACATGGCGACTAAGAATTAATTGATCTTTTAACTGGCGTCATGATTTCATAAATGTGACGGATTCTGTTGAAGATTACGCAAGGTGATGGGCAAAACATGAAAAAAGAGCTTGACACGTTGTAAGATTGAATAAAATATATCAGATGCAGGATTAAATCTCGCATTCATCCATTGAGGGTCAAACTGAAAATTAACCATCTTTCTGTGTTCAGCAAAAAAAAAAAAAAAAAAAGAATTAGACGGATAAGATGGCCAGTATGTACTGGTTCCATCTCACAAAGCAGGTAACAACACTGTTTGATTTTACCAAAATCAACATCATTAAAATTTCAATGAGATATGTTGTTTTGACATTTTTTTTCCTCGTAAATTTCAATCGTCAAAATTAAATAATTGAAATTTATTATAAACTTGGTTTAACTTAAATTTTTGTAAACGCGATACATACTTTGTCGTGCACAGTGGTAGATTGATTGAAATGTTTGTTCGGGGTTATGTATATTTCAATTTAATGAAAATCTGATCTTTGATCGGCTAGATCCACAAAACTTTGTTAAGTACAGTAGTCTACACTTTTGTTTTTACGTCACATGTGTACGTGTTTCCTTTGTTGGTTATCAAAAGAACGATATCGGAATCTATCTTAAGCCAACGTCACCCTGGTCATGACACTATTTAAAAAAAATGTTTTAAAAATCAAGCGATTTCTGATTTTTTTTCTCCAATTTTCAAATAAAGTTGAAGTATTAATGTCCACTATTAATTGTTAATTATTACATAATGCTGTCTACAGTTGATATTTTTTATTCTCTTTTATTCTCCTGAATTTGGTATAACAAGCCCGGATAATTGTTTCATTTTAAAATTGTGCTTGATTTTATAGTTATTTTGTCCCAACTCGATTGGCGAAGTTATAGAAAATTTTAAAGTGTGGGTTATGTATAGAAAATTCACACTTTTAACAAAGAAATCACACCTAACTATGGTACAAGAGCTTGAATACTGTTTGTTATCTCCATATATTTCATTGACATATTCTTTAGTTTGCATTTTTGTTTTTGAACAATAGTATGAATCGGAAGGGCTATTTGGTATTTAAAAAAATCAGTCAAAATTTGACTCAATGATAAATTATATTTGCTGACAAGGTCATTGTATCGACAATAGAAGGTACGAAATTATGACTACAAACGAGACCACTGATATCCTATTTCTTATTTCCGGAACGATTCAAATTGTAAATTTTATTTCTGGTATTTCGATGTGT